CTCTATCTAGTGGGCCCAACTGAGTAGGAACCTGAAGACGGAGATAGAGCCCCATCTCCGAAACGTCGTTTTACGTTTTTTACGTTTTATTACTAGACGATGGATAATATCCAAGTAAATTTGTATTCAATTGACGACTTCAATGAAAGTCTGGACATTTGTTCACTAGTTCAGCAGTATTTTGTCTAATCGTCAAAGTTCTGTCGTATGTACAATAGTGCAAAACAAGGGCATTATTCCTACTAAATTTGGAGCCATTTCGAAACCAGGACCACAGATTAGTAGGTTGTATGTGCGCCAGAGTCGGTCTGGACGCGGTGAGAAACGAAGTCCCTCCTGAGAAGCGAACCCAGGTCGTGCAATCCGCAGCCTAGTCACGAATACCGACTGACCTGGCATTATAATTATGTTCTCGAAGAATATTCCTCAAGAACAGGTGGCAGAGTAAACGAGGTAATTCGTATTCGGTGTTTCTCCCTAAAATATGCATTTATTAACTTTCGTGTACAAACGGTAACGCCATTCGTTTGTCTTCTTTTATGGGTTTATCGTTACAAAGATATGCTCTGACGTCACAGAATAAAGATAAATGTTGGCCATTACAAGACAGAGAAGCTATTTTAAGTTGTTTTTCACCTTCTGTACTCAGAGTTTATGTGAATCATCACAGAAGAATGCAAATTGTAAGCATGACGATTTAATCAGAATGGAAAAGACTTGAGGTGATGAACATGTTTTTCACTTGTTTTGGACATTTCTGTAAATATGATATGATGTAATTTTGCTGTTTCATCAGTGCAGTTGCTTGAAGCTTCAAACGTACCCTACCCTCTTATGAAGTTAGTAATTACAGGTGAATAATTCATGTAGCCTGTTCACTGTCTTCTAAATCATCACCAGGTCTTGGAAGTGCGTGATTATCTTTAACATCCGATGCCACCATATTCAGATATACCCAACTGACGGTCGTCGTGACGATTGGAAAATTAGGAGCTGATGACTGAAAGGTCGGACTGTGAAAAAAAATCATTGCTCCCTCAGCAATATTATTGTGCTTTTGAATTACCTTTTTAAAACTATAGGATGCTTCGTTTTTGTAGTGACTTTAGGCACACTGAGTGTGTGAAATGACGGTAAGTCAGTTTTGCACTAAACAGCACGAGTCGAAGTGTATTTACGTATATTAAAAAATATTAGCCTTTGAGATTTTGTACATGTAATTGATTTTGCTGTTCATTTACTGAAGATACGAAACTATTGTATCACAACAATTCGCGCTGTAGATATCGTAGCAAAGATGCACGAGAATAAAATCCTAGCCATGCATCACATCCAAAAGTTTCGATTGGAAGTCGCCCATTTCTCTGGTATCCGTATTTAATGTCCTATCCTGTGAGAATATAATTTAAGTTCTATACGCTTAATGTAAAACGGAGGTTAAATTAAACACATACGAATCAAAATTAAATTCGCCAGACAATTTTTTTATGTAGACTTCCGATATCAAATTTAATGTATCGCCCTGATGACGGAGGCAGTATGACCTCTGAAACGTTGGTAAACATCGACTACACAGCGCAACAACCCTGGAGACAGAAATCGTCATCAAATTTAATCTAAATCGGTTCAGTAGGGCTCATTATTATTAAACATATATATACAGGGTGGGTGGGAAGTAAGTAGACATTAAATAATCGATATGCATTGGAAACATAGAGGTTATAACCATTTCTCAATGTCTACTTACTTCCCACCCAGCCTGTAGATTAACTTCCTTTAATATGTTAATCTACGTCCCATGCAAGAGTCACTACGTAAAGCCAAACAGGCAGAGGAAGGTCCGTGGTCTTCGTGTACAGCGAAATCCTCCAACGCCTTTTGGTCGTTCTATCTCTGGAAGGTTACAACCACAGTCTGTTATGGGAGAAGCTGGCATGGCCCCTCGTGGTACGCACACACCGGCTGGCACGGAAACTGGGTTTTCCGGTTTCGTCTGTCGTCGTGACACTGCAGGGAGTCCCAGCGTGCAGATCTGGGCCAACTCAGGGCAAGAAATGTTTTGGGATTGTCATCCTACAAGAACCCTGCATTATCGCAAGCTTTGGAAGACAACAGGAGAATAATACTGACACGAGACAAGAGCTATGCCGAGGTTTTTAAAGAAATTATTTTTCGATTTGCAGCGCGGGGTGCAAGGTTGAGAGTTTTCGATTTTCTAGCGAAAGCAGACAGAACTAACCAATTTTATTCAATCGGATAATGTAAAGGCGAGATAGCGATTATTAGGTGCTTAATTTTAGTACGCTATTATAATATCGTGTATTTATATTATATAGAAACTGGATTTTTTTATTCTATTTTCGGCGCTAACTGTTAATTTTAATTTTAACTGGCGTTCCGAAATCCAAGGCTTCAGCTGCTAGTACGAAACGTGATCCTTCAATTTAATGTCCTCATAGTTCGTATGTGTAAAGCAAGATTTCTTTTCTTTCTAACTGAATTTTATTTTAAGTAAAAACAGCGCGCTTCGGAAGAAACTTTGTTCTCAGTGTTTATAATATGAATGGCACGTTCTGTGTCAATGAAAGACTAGCAAAATTTCAATTCCGGGGAAATTAACTTAACAGATATGGGAGTCGAAATAAGCCCTGAACCCCGACGGTCTAGCGCCTATCAACATAGGTAATTCGGCGCAGATACACTCGAAGAGACGGACGAACATCACGAAACGAATAATAGATGATTTTCAGAACTGACTCCTGGATACAGATTCCGCCATGACCGTCCTTACACTGGATGATTTCCAATCCAAAATATGTGGTAATCGAACTGCTACGTATTCTTCGCTAAATACCTAAAATCGAAAGAGAAAATGCCGCATAACTGAGGTTCCAAATTTATATATATATATATATTTTCTTTCGATATACTTTCAGTTCTGGTATTTACATTCAAGAACACAAAAGATGATTGAATGGTCTTATACGTAATGGTGACGAGAACGCGCGACACACATCCTGTGCCATGGTCTCTTACTTGATTAGCTTCTGTGTCAACGCCACACCTGACACTCGTTACTCTGCATCCACGACGTGGAAAATGATTGATTTATAGACGTATTTTTGTACGCACTTCCAGAAGACCTGATTTTAACTGTTTGGTGAGGTAAATTGGTAAGATGCTATTCATGTCGATTCGAATTACGATGAAATAGGCAGTTTTCACGTAAGTCTTAGATCCGCCATGGTCATTTAAATCGAAGTGCCTTCCTCCCTTAGACCGATCAAAAAGTTTTCAAGGTGCCTAGCTTCAGAGCGTGTTCTTATAATCAGCTTCCCCAACGCGGTGAGAACTAGATAATCAAAATTAACACTGATATTCATTTTCAACTTGTGATGAACACGAGGAAATGTGTATCCAATTTCCCCATTGTTTTCTTTGTATCTGACATATCGCTTTGACCTTTTCCACTTACTTAAGATGCAATCTAATCTGACATTGCAAATCTAATCGCACAACTGATAGCATATTGCAACAGTCATGTAGGCCTTTTTTTTCCGACCTCGGTAAATATTCACACACAATAAATTTTCAAACACAATTTGTACATCCTAATAAGGTCTACAAATATCTAATTCGGCCTACAAGTCTTTGACAAGCTTGATACAGCTGAACGTGGTCCCCATGCAAAGTAAACTGAATCTGACATCTTTTAGAAAGTGCCTTCCAATTCCAAATTTCACCGAAATTCGTCGACCGAAACGTGGTAGCCGAATAGTTGGCACTCCTGCTTCGCATTTGGACATTACCGGTTCAAATAACGGCCCGGAGACCAGATATCCTGACTGAAGATTTTCGTGAGTTTCTTCAGTCTACATGCAAATGGGGGGGATAGTACCTTAAATTCGTCAGTGGTTTCGGAGATGAAACATGCAGAAGGAGAGACGCCACTTCTCCATCATGCGTTCATTTGATGATCTCTGTGCAAAATGACATGGGCCCAAAGAAGGATATGGCTATTAACATTTTGAGATTTTTCAAGTTAATGCACTGATGTCTGATTCTACTTGGAAAACGGCATTTATATGTTTATATAATATTTAAAACTTTCAAAGCTCTTGAATGTTATAGAATCCTCTCAGGCGATTCAATCAAATATCGACGTTTCAGAGACTAGCTCTGAGCCTCCATCTTATTGTATTTTTCTGTTTCATTCTTTGGTAATTATATGCTTATATAATAATTTGTAAACATCTCAGCAGAAAAAAATACGCCATCTCTCACGCGACTTTCAAATAAAGCTAAGCTTTCCGCCGAAGAAGGAGATTCAATAAGTTGCCTTCACACTTAAATAAGCTGCTGGTTCGGTGAGCAGCCGCAAAAGAGGAATCTGAAAATGTGGCATTTTTATAGGTTCCTTGGATCCGGAGGACCTGTCTCTGGACCCTGCTGGCAGCCCCTGCCAGTCCCTTTGCAGTCCAAAACCTGATCCGGAAGGGACAGCAGAACTTCCCACAAAACTCGATCCCAGCCTCAGTCCTGGACTCGCGACGATCGCCGCTGGAGTCAGTACGACCGTGTGCGAGGACTCCAGCAACACAAGTAGCATTATGTACCCGTCCTCAGGTAGTGCGCCTCACACCACGGGGAATACCGGAGCGGGGAAAATCAGCTACCGCGGTATCTTCACTACTACCTCTAGTGGCAGCACTGTCTCCGCCAGTATGGGTCCCAACGGAGGCGGAAGTCTCACTGGTCTGGGCACAGGCCTCGCTGCTGCTACCACCTCTCCAACTGCTCAAGGCATCAACCACTGGCTACTCCCTAGTCCAGACAAAACACTATTCCCTCCCCTGTTTGGTCTGCTCGGGCAACAACCACAACACCCTCAGTCCGCAGCGTCACCTCAACAGCAACAACAACAACAGCAGCAGCAGCAGCAACAACAACAACAACAACAG